TATTTTTTTCCAGTTCAACTCCTAGACCAGAGACAAGTTTTATACACCTACCCTCTTAACTTTTATGCTTTCAGATGGGGGAGTAATCACCTCTCATAACTTCACTCCTCCTAATCCCACATTTAATTTTCAGAATTCTGCCTTACCGTGGAAATGTTCCTACCTCAAAGTCATCCTGATATAATGACATGTCTAAATCAAAGGCACCTTTCCTTCTACCTCACCTGGTCCTTAAATATGACAGTGCCATGTCTCCTCATAATATCTTGAGTCTCTTTGTTTTTCCAGTCAACATACGTGCATTCACCAGTGAAGTTGTCCTGGCTAAAACACCTGGCACCAGCTTCTACCTGGGCATCAACCGTCATCCCGTCAGCTCCCCTAGGCTCCAGTACAGCACCCTCTGCCAACAGGAAGTAGTTAAAGAGAGAAATCTTCACCCCTTTTCATAATAATAATCATTCGATGGGATATGAAAGGATTTTGGCCCAGACAGGACACTGGAGCCAGGAAAGCCTCAACTGGAACCAGGAAGCCCCTATCTCCCCTGTCCCTGGGAATTTACCTATAGTGCCAAACCTAGGACCAATGGGCTACCCATGCATCCCTGATGCCCCCTTAGGTTCCACCCCAAACCGAGGCTACTTACATACCCCCCACGCCACATGTCCACTAGAGAGATCGCTGGACTCCAGCAGTAGGGGGTGCCTGTCATCTCTCTCCGTGTTCTCAGAATAAAGGCCTCTTTTTGTTTTATACTTCTCATCTTTTGGAGATACTTTTCATCTTTTGGAAATAATCCTATCAACCACCAGGTTCCCAATTATAGTTAGTTTCCAGAGACTGACCCCAGAATTGCTGTCTCAATGCTCTTTGGCTGTGGGGTGTGTTGGATGAAGCTCAGTAGGGATGGTGACCCTCTAGAAGCCTGGCTATGGGGTGGGCTCAGTCCTTCTGAGGGATGGAATATGACACCTGCCTCACCTGAAGGTGGACTGTGGACACCTGGCCTTCCTCTTCCTTTCAATTTCATTGAAGAATTTTAGGAGTGGTGGCATTAAGTCTTCTTTGTATTTATTGTAGAATTCTACAGTGAATCTGTCTGGGTCTGGGCTCTTTTTTGTAGGTAAGGACTTAATTACATTTTCAATTTCATTAGTAGATATTGGGTTATTCAGCAGGTTTACATCTTCTTGACTCAGCTTTGGTAGTTCATATATTTCTAGGAATCTGTCCATTTCTTCTGTGTTATCAAGCAGAGGAAAGTAGAGGTTTTTGAAATAGGTATTGATGATCTTCTGTATTTCCACAGGGTCTGTAGTGATTTCACCTTTTTCATTCCTTATTGCATGAATTTGAGCTTTTTTTTCCCTTTTTAAAATAAGGTTGGCTAGGGGCTTATCAATTTTATCTATTCTTTCAAAGAACCAACTCTTTGATTCATTGATTCTTTGGATTGTTTTCTTAGTCTCTATTGCATTAATTTCTGCTCTCATTTTTGTAATTTCCTTCTTTCTTTTGGCTTTGGGCTTGACTTGCTCTTTTTTTTTCTAGATGTAGCATTAGGTTATTTATTTGTATTTGTTCTGTTTCCCTGATGTGGGAACTCAGTGCAATAAATTTTCCTGTGAGGAAAGCTTTCATTGCATCCCACATATTCTGGTAAGTTGTATTTATATTTTCATTTGCTTGTAGGTATTGTTTAATTTGTTCTATTTCCCCTGTGACCCACTGATTGCTCAAGAGTGTGTTATTCAGTTTCCATGTGTTTGTGGGGGTTTTGCAGTTTCTTTTATCTTTAATTTCTAGTTTCATGGCACTATGATCCGATAACATGCATGAGATAACTTCAACTCTTTTTCATTTATTTAAATATGTTCTATTTTCAGTTCTATACAGGCTAGTATATGGCCTATTTTAGAGAATGTCCCATGTACTACTGAGAAGAATGTGTATTCTGTTGCTGGATGAGACATTCTGTATATGTCTATCAAGTCCATTTGTTCACAGTTGTGATTCAGTCCTGGTATTTCTTTGCTAATTTTCTGTCTGGTTGATCTGTCCCTTGGTGTCAATGGTGTGTTAAATTCTCCTGTTATAATTATGTTATTGCTAATTTGATTTTTCATTTCTATTAATACTTGCTTTGTATAACTAGGTGCTCTGGAATTTGGTGCATATATATTTAGTATTGTTATCTCTTCCTCTTGAAGTTTTCCCCTAACTAGTATGTAGTGGCCTTCTTTATCTCTTAGGAGAATTCTTGGTTTGAAGTTCATGTTGTCTACAAACATATAGCTACCCCTGCTTTTTTGGGAAGTGGGATTCTGTTGCATGGAGTACTGTTTTCCATGCTTTGACTTTTAGTCTATGAGCTTCCTTTTGGGCTAGATGTGTTTCCTGTATACAACATATAGTTGGATGTTATTTCTTAATGCATTCTGCCAGTCTGTTTCTTTTAATTGGTGAATTGAATGCATTTACATTAATGGTTATAACTAATATATGTTGGTTTACTTTTGACATGTTATCTTTCTGCTGTTGATTCTTTACCTTTCCACTTTGTTTAACTGCTTGCCTTGCTTATGGTTTTTCCCTATGTCTACCCAGAATGTCTTTCAGTATTCTTTGCAGGATTGGCTTGGTGATCATGAAGTGTTTCAGGTGTTCTTTGTCATGGAAATATCTTATTTCTCCATCCATTTTTGAAGGACAATTTTCAGGGTACATCAGTCTGGGTTGGAATTCATTTTTCCTTAGGATCTGAAATACTTCACTCCTCACTCTTCTTGACTTCATTGTTTGTGTTGAGAAGTCTGCTGTGATTCTGATAGGTATTCCTTTACAGGTGATCTATTTCTTCTCTCTAGCAGCTTTTTTTTTTTTTTTTTGGTCTTTTTCTTTTTTATCGATACCAGGGATTGAACTCATGACTGCCTGCTTGCAAGGCAGGTGCTTATGCTGCTGAGCTAAATCCCCAGCCCCTCTCTAGCAGCTTTTAATAGTCTGTTCTTACATTGGATTTCTGGGATGTTGCTTATTATATGTCTAGGTGTAGTTTCATTTTGGCTATGGCTATTTGCAGTTCTATACAATTCACTGATCTGTATGTCAGTTTCCATTCTCATGTTTGGGAAATTTTCAGTGACTACTTCTCTAAATATCCTCTTGATATCATTTGTGTTGTCCCCTTCTTTTTCATTTATCCCTATCAATCTTATGTTGTTTTTCTTTGCATCATCTTGCAGCTGTTGAAGTGTTATTTCTTGATTTCTTGTTATTTTTAAAAGATCTTTCCTTTCCTGTTTACTAGCTGCAATCTTGTCTTCAAGGTCTAAAATTCTATCTTCACTTTCATTGAGGCAGTTTTGACAACTTTCAATGGAGTTTGATTTCTTGTATATCTCTTTGAATCTGTTACATGTATTCTGTTTGTTTCTTATATTGTTCATTCAAGTTTCCATCTTTTTTCATTGTTCCTCTAATTTTTAAATATGTCTTCTTTTGATGTGTTCAGCATTTCTTTCATTATATCTATTATTTCATCTTTTACATGGGAGACTATTTCTCATTTGAGTTCTTCTATAGCTTCCCAGAGTTGTTTCATTACTTCAGTTGTTGTCATTTCAGAAATTTCAGGTGTATGGCTTTATTTTCTTCTGTGTCCATATCTCCTAGGCTTGCTTGGGTTAGGCTGGAAGTTTGAAATTGCATTTTGCGCTTTCATTTTGTCATTTTCCTATATTTCTGGGTTTCAAGTGAAGTTTCAAAGCTTCCCCCATGTGTTAGGAATCACCTGGCCCACTTTTGGCTCTTGAGGCAGACAGCAGGTAACTGTTAGCCACTTGGAGTTCACTGTGTGTGGGCCAGTTAGGCCTGCTTGTAACTCTCATGTGTCCTCCTGTGAGTTAAGACATGGAGCATGGTCTTACCACCTGAGAGTGATGTTCCAAGGTTTCCCTTTGTGCTGGGATTCAACCTTTGTATGCCCAGGGCCTGGGCCTGAATTCAGGCCACTGCCAGCTACTAGGAGTTTGCTGGGCATGGGCCAGTTAGGCCTGTGGGCACCTCCCATTCATCTTGATTTCAGAAGTGGGGCATGGTCTTATCACCTGGGAGCGATGTCCCAAGGCTTCCCTGTATGCTAGGTTTCAACCTGCACATGCTCAGGGCCAGGGCTATATACCATGTTTTATTTTAACCATTTATCCATTGAGTAATACACAGGCTGACCCCATGGCTTAGCTATTAATTGTGTCACAGTCTATATGCATGTATCCCTAAAATGTGCTATTCCTTCAGGCTTATACCCAGGCATGGTACAGCTGTATATGGATATGGATAAGAATGTTCTACTTTTAGTTTTCTGAGAAACCTTCATTCTTCATACTTTTTTCAATAGTGACTGAACTAATTCTCATCAAAAGCATAGAGTATAGGGCTGTCCCTTTATCTCTGTTTTTTTTTTTTTGCTTTTGTATGTGTGTTGTGCTTATCTTTAAATGTTTTTTGTTTGTTTTTTAATTTTTATTTTTATTTTAAAGGGGATAAAATTAAACAGAACAAAACAGGACACAAGAAAGCAATGCAAGAGATATAAATTTCAAGCTAGACAACTGAGATCTTCACTGTCAATCATACAGTCTCTTGTTTTCTTCCAACTAGTTGTCCATGTCTTCCAATACAGAGAATTCATACAAAACAACATAGTATAAAACTTATCTGAACAGATTGAAGAAGGCATTTTGGGTCTTCAAAACCAGACTATAGGGAAGTCACTAGTGGCTGTTGTAGAGTCTCTCACTCTCCCCAAAACGGCCATCCCTGCCCTCATGTATGTTCAACAAAACAAAGCAGGCAAGGGGGGAAGGCTTGCTTGGTTTCCCAGCACTCCAGGTCACAGGATGGCAGGGGTCCCAGCAAACACTGGAGGCTCCCATCCTGGGTCACCAGAGCCTGCCACGCTCACAGCTGTTCATGGGGGGGGGGGTGTTGCTTCAAGATTTTTCTTTCTAATGAATTGACCATTTCACTGCCCAAATTCTAAAATGTCCAACAGACCATAGAAAGACATCTCTTTAGGCTCCTGCTTGAAACCAGCAGTGTCAGGTTTGCCAGCCTTAATTCAGGGCTAGTCTTAAAATGTTTATATTACTATATGTTTCTGAGATATAGTGATTATATTCCTCCTAAGAATATATCATATATATATGTGTGTGTGTGTGTGTGTGTGTGTATCTTGATCATTTTTACTTCCCCCACCCTTCCCATATCTCCCTTGTCCCTTCTTCCCCAGATTCCCTTCCCATCTCTATAAAGTCTACTCCATGCTTCTTAACATGTCTCTTTTATTTTGCACTTTAAATTATTTATATTTTGGGTCTCTAAGAGAAATCATTGAATATTTAACCTTTTGTGTCTAGCCTATTTTATTTAGTGTTATGGTCCCAAGGTGTATCCATTTTCCCACAAGTGACTCAGATTTACCCTTCTTTGTGGCTGAACAGTATCCATTGTGTGTATGTGGCACATTTTATTTATTCATTCACCTTTTGAAAAACATACAGGCTACTTCCAAGATTTAGCTGTTGTAACCATGCTGCTATAAATACAAGTGTACACACATTTCTGTAGTGTGATGACTTTAGCTCTTTCAGAGAGATACATACTCAGGGGGCACATAGCTACAATTTCTATTTTTGTTCTTTTGAGGAATTTCCATATTGATTGTCAAAGTGCTTGTACTACTTTACATTCTCAACAATGCAGAAATGCTCCTTTCCCTTGAGAATTTCATTTTTGAGTCTTTGGTAATAACCATGCTTATGGTTATTAGAGTAAGATTGAATTGAGTAAGATTGAATCTCAGTGTTCACTGGAATTTCTCTAATGGTCAAAGAGGTTGAAACAAATTTTAAGTATTTTTTGGCTATTTTTACTCTCCATTTGTGAAGTCTCTATTTGTTTTAAAGGCTCACTTTTTTTATTGGGTCTTTTATTTTCAGGGGCCTAATATTAGTGTTTTGTCTGAGGAGTAGCTAGCAACATTTTTCCCATTCTGTAGGTTGTTCCTTGATTTTGTTTTGTTGTTTCTTTTGCTGTGCAGAAGGGGTTTTATGTTGCTTTTTGTTAGTACATAGCTTCCATGCATAATGATCACATTCATTATGGAGAAATTGAATTTGTACACAATATACCTTAATTCCTTTTTCCCTTTCCCTCTCCTCTTAGTGCATCTTCCCCTCCCCATTTACAAAAAGTGTTTCCATTTTTCCTTTCATGCTCTATGTTTTGGACTGCATTTCCCTTCCCTTCTCCCTCTCTTTTCCCTTGTTCCCTTTTCCATTTGAATAAATTCTTTGTAAGATTAAAGACTACTAGCTCTAGAAGGAAGTTTTGATTTTATATAATCCCATTTGTTGACTTTGGGTATTATTTCTTGCATAACTGGGCTTCCATTCAGGAGGTCCTTGCCTATGACCATGTTTGTAAGATTTTTAACATTTTTTCTGTCATAATATGCAATGTATCTTTTTTGTATAGATCTTTGATCCATTTTGATTTGATTTCAGTACATAGTAAGAAATATAATTGGGATTCCTTCTTTTGCATGTGAAATTTGCACTTTTTGTTTAAAAGGATATCTTTTCTCCAGTGTTTTAGGTTTGGGTTGTTTTGTATTTCTAGGATCCTGAGATGCATCATTAAATTATGTACAGAACTCCATGAAATGGTTGAAGTAAAGAAACTCAGTGGGTTAAAAGACAGCAACCCAAAACATGGTGAAACTATGATACAAAATGGCCAGTGTGTTCATGAGAGAAACAAAGTTTGGAAGAAGTAACCAAAATGAACCAAAACATGAATGACAAATTTGTCAAAGATGTCAACTCCAAGAAAAAGTGCCAAAAGGAAATCCCAAAGACGAGGAACTCTCCAGAATTCATGAACATCAGAAATTACCAATCTGAAGATATGGTTTTGGAAATTGAAAACAAAATGGTAATATAATTATTTACTCAAAGAAGCCTTAAAAATAATAAGACTTCAAGAAAATTTATCCAACAGCTACTAGATAATGCTAAGAAGACTAAACTGTTAACTGAAGTTAGAGACAAGTTAAAACACAGAACACATGGAGTGAAGAATCTGTAGAAAACTTTCCAATTATGAAAAAAATTCAACATGGAAGTGAGCAGGATTACAGAGTCCTAAATAATTGCGATGAAAAAAGAAGCAACCTGTAACATATCACACTCAAAATTGTAGATGTCGAACAAAAACACAGAGTCTTAAAAGCAGAAAAAATGTCAGAGAAAAGCAAACAAATCACTTATAAAGGTAAACCCATTAGTAGAATAGCAAACTTCTCAACTTTAGAGTCCAGGAGACAAATTTCCAACCCAGGCTATTATAATCTTTAAAATGCTCCTTCAAAATTGATGGAGAAATAAAGTGTTTCCAAGACAAATAGCTTAATAGATCTTCAACACCAAGCCAGCACTCCGTTAAATACTCAAAAATACTCTGCAAAGTGATGTCAACTTTCACTTGCCTTTCCTCATAGCTCCAACACAGAAGCGGCCTTGGTTCTGTGACAAAATCCTCCTTGTACAAGGAGCCACAATCATCCACCCTCCAGAGCTCCTGTTTATGCCAGTTGTGAAGCTGGAGACCTGATGATTTTGGATTTGCTTTCATTTGCATGGATTTAAAACCACAGCCCCAACTATGACACTCATATTCAAGTGAAAAGAAGCAGAAAAAATCCTATATGCTTCCTACCTTTATTAGAGCAAAAGTCTCCCCAGAAGAATTCCAATCAATTGATTTGCTTGCTAGGGAGCGGCACTGGGCCACATAATCAACCTCCAGTGACATGATGTACTGGAAAAAGTTGATAGCAACCATCCTTTGGATCTGAGAACCAAGCATGCCACATATGATCACCCATCCATAGCACAGGAGACTCTTTGTAGAAGGGACAGTGTTAGTTCATACTAGATTCTCAGGATGGACTGTGGGGTCAAGTCAAAGTGAGTCTGAATGAATATTTCTTGAGTGGATCCTCTCACATCCATATCTTGTGCAGTGACCACCACCAACTAGATGTTTACTGTGCATTGAAGCTGGCACCAATAAATTCAGGTCCTGTGTGCCCCAGGTTGACTCCAAGTTATCACCATCATGACCATTCAGTGCCTAGAGCAAGGTGCAGGATGACTGAATAGAAAGCTGCTCCCTCTGACGGTGAGCTGGTTTCCTACATAATCTAGGCCCCTCTCACCTGCTCATGATGAAGTCAGGACCACATAAAGACCAGAAATTCCTCTCCTGAGGCCAGCAGGACACAGACCAGGGAATCACTGACCTCAGCACATTCTGAATCTGGAGCAGGGATGACCCCTGAGCCTCTAGCTGCAGCCAGTGTGGAGTGGCCACCAAGGGGCAGCAGAGTGCCACCTGCAAAAGCCATCTGGATTTCTGGTAAATTAAGGCATTACGAGGATTCTAACCTGTAAGGAAGGTTAGTGATCATGACCTGGCACCTGGATAAAAAGGTAATACTTTACCAAAAAACACCCTTGACCTAATGTACAGATTTTTCTGTCCTATCTCTCAATCCGGTTATTGGAAATCAGTGCATATTTCTCTGACACAGGCTCAGGTATTTCATTCACAAAAGCTAACTCCATTCCTACTAAAATGCCACCACTGTTCACAAATACTGCCCTGTGACGACACATGTATCATCTCCTTCCTCTTTGCTTTGATGGCCTTTGGCCTGCCAGACAGATGCTTCTCATGGGAGCTCCTCCATCATCCCCATATCTGTTCTCTGTCTGTCTCTACCGCATAGTGAGAATAAGGGTCACGAATTTGCTCATTAAGCTTTTTTTTTTCTTTTTTTTTTTTTTTTGAGATAGTCTCACAAAGCTGTTAACTTGCTCAGGCTAAACTTGAATTTACAATCTCCTTTACCTTGTTAGCCTTCCAGTGTGCTGGGATTGCAAGCACCAATCTTGTATATTTGATATATTTTTCCCAGTAATGAAGACAACTTCATTATAGGATTCACTTGAGATGCTGGTGCTGGCATCCATCTGTCTTCTCTGGAGCCAACATTTATTTAAGCACCTGAACTGTACCTGACCACACTGCTCCCTGGGGAGACTGAGGCACAGCACCTATGACCTCAGGAGCCCACAGCCAAGGGCAAAGCTTATAGGACTGGATGGTTATTAAAACATTCCACATGCCCTTGTCTATGTAAAATTTTTATTTCTGGCTCTACAAGTGAGGCACTCTGTGATCTGAGCTGCCCCTGTCTAAGCCACCTGTAGTCCCATGTAGAGTGGCAGCTGGAGGCTCACTCATTGGTGGCTAGAAGGTCTCTTCTGCAGATGAAGCTAGGTCTATACTTGACATCTGCATTCTGCTATAAAACCTGGAGTCCTGGACCAAAATTACCCACCACCCTGGTGGGACAAATAGAAGGGAAGAAGGGCCAGCGGTCCCTGAAATAATTTCCTGAGGTATGGTGGTGATTCTCTGGCAGCCATCACACAGGGACAGGGAAGACACTCTGGGAAGGGTTTGGACTCTCTGAAAAAGGCAAACTCAGTTGTGACCTCTGCATGGCCAATCCAGTCCAAACTATGGGACTAACAGCTAAAGGACCACTCTGAGTGCTGAAGTTGATCTGCACGGCTACCCAGCTTTATTTGGTCCCCTGAGCTCTACTCTATACACCACAAAGCTCCTTCAGTGCCTGCCCTGGACTTGGGCTGATTTGCATAATGGGCAGCTCTCTCCACTTAGGGGATAAGAGAGGCTTGGGAGGAAACCACTCGGCTTCAGGAAGCAGCATCAGGGTACCTCTACTAATGGCCTGTATCCTCTTCTTCCTCAGGCTCCTTGTTCACTGAACAGGTGTTGCCCCAAGTCCCAGCTCTGATCTGGGACCAGCCTATTCCTGACTCAGCTTAGCTGGGTGCTGTCTGCATGAGTAGAATATTAGGGAACCTCCTGCAAGATGGGGATTGTAGGGTAGAGATTCCCACTGTTCTCACTGGCTTTTGTGAGCCAGAGTAGGTGGGTGAAGCTGCCAGAAGGGAAAGGTAGATTAGCTAAT